ACATTGTCAATTGATGATTTTTTACCATTTTTGCCCCACCAATCCTACTAATTTTCACTGGTTTATTCACGGATTATCAATTAATGAATCAATAAAATAAAAGGTAACAAAAAGAATATATGCTAATACATGAGCCATCCATGTACACTCAGGCATGTTTTCATGGTGCCATTTTTCCTTACAATGGTGTCAAAGTGGCTAGAAATGCTCTTGATGATAAATATATCAGACAGTTTAGATTGGTTATAACTTTGTGCTGGGATTGGAAAAATATTGGATAGGTAATGATATTTTTCAGGTAAACTGTTTAAATTTTTTCCATATCAATTAATATTTTTTCTTCAGGACTGATTTCCATTTTGTCACTCACTTTATGATCAGTTACAATGGTAACATTCTCTTTATCATTGATGTTTCTTTTAATCTCTGCAAAATTGGCACTTTTCTTAGCACCATTTTTTTGTTCCTTTGATTGCATCTCTAGAATCTGATCAAAGAACATCATATACCTACTTGCTTTTATATTTATATGCTCATCTTTCATCCAACACTAATCTCCCAGACAATAGTTTTAATTCATTTTCATTCAACCCTATAAAAAATTTGGTATGGAAAATGTATGGAAAACTGTACAGAATTTTACTTGAAATTCGCATTTTTCTGTACATTTTTCCATATGTTTCTGTGCCAAATTTTTTTATAGGGCAATAGATCATGTACCTTATTCAATATATTTTTATCTCCTAAATCAATACATAAAATTTTGCATTAGCATCTTAAGTGTGTCAGATAGGTTTGAGTTATCATAGTATGTTGGGAATTTTATTTGACCAAAGATATCAGTGACAATTTTCATCAAATTTTCCAAATCTTCCGTAGTATTCTCAAATGGTTTTCCTTCTCCTTTATTTGCGCATGAATCTTTGTTTGGGTTCTCAGTGGCAGTTTTACATGAACTATGGTAATTGTTTACTTGTTGCCTTTTCTTTCAGATCTGTTGTAACATTTTTTTATGCACAACATCAAATACATTATCTTCAATTTTCTCAAGAATATCATCTTTTGAAAAATTTTTAATTTTCTTCAACTCTCCAAATAAACAATTTTTTTCTCTTTGGCCCTTGTTCAAATTGCTTAACACCAGGAAATTTTTTCTGATGTGGATTTACATAATTATTGCACTGTTTATGATGGGTCTCATAATATTATACAAAAATTATGCAATTATTAATTCAGTGTAAATATTACATAGATTTTATGTTAATATTACAACATTGCATATTAAAACATACAGATGTAACATTACTATGGGAAAATTTCCTGATGAATACTTAGAAACGCCTACTGGAGTAAACTGATATTGGAAAATTTCATCAGGACTTTTAATATAAATGGCAAAAGCTTCACATGACTGATCTAATAAAACTGGTATAGAATGTATAAATTTTGACATGTCAGCATATTGGTTGAATGGAAGTCCTACAAAACGATGGCTGATTCTTTGAGAAAGATTTTTGTCAAAAGAAGTTGCCAGCATATAATTTTATTGTCTTTAAAAGTAAGAATAAGTAAGGAAAAAAAAAGAAAAACAAGAAAAAAATTTTTTTAATTATAAATTTCAATTTGATTTTTTTGGTTAATTATATAAAAGACAGACACTACTACTTATACAACAAAACTGTTGTTTTTTTATACAAAAAGAATATTTATTTTATCTAAGAATGGATATATATGATTTTATACCATTAATGGTATTATTGGAAACAACAGATTGCTTTTAAACAATAATATTACAAAAGAAATCACAAAGAATACCAAACAAGAAATGCAGGTAAACCATTCCAATCATTACTTGTATTTAGGATGATGATTATGAATTCATTTAATCTGAATTTGGTTGTCAAACAGACCATTCCATTAGGAGTAATTTAGCGGACCATGGATGGGGCCACTCAATTGAGTAACTTAGTAGGGGCTAGATCAAGATGTGACATTATCATGCTAATTCTGATTATAGTTCCTTTTTTTCCTGATAATTTTTATTGAATTAAACTAATTAGTTTCTATTGTTATAGAGTCAAAAAAAACCATTTTTGCAAAAAATAATAATCCTTGAAGATTTTTTTTATAATTTGGATCAAATGCTGATTCCAGCATTTCTACAGTATGTTGTGCTTGAAATAAATGAAGACCTTATTCAATATATTTTTATCTCCTAAATCAATACATAAAATTTTGCATTAGCATCTTAAGTGTGTCAGATAGGTTTGAGTTATCATAGTATGTTGGGAATTTTATTTGACCAAAGATATCAGTGACAATTTTCATCAAATTTTCCAAATCTTCCGTAGTATTCTCAAATGGTTTTCCTTCTCCTTTATTTGCGCATGAATCTTTGTTTGGGTTCTCAGTGGCAGTTTTACATGAACTATGGTAATTGTTTACTTGTTGCCTTTTCTTTCAGATCTGTTGTAACATTTTTTTATGCACAACATCAAATACATTATCTTCAATTTTCTCAAGAATATCATCTTTTGAAAAATTTTTAATTTTCTTCAACTCTCCAAATAAACAATTTTTTTCTCTTTGGCCCTTGTTCAAATTGCTTAACACCAGGAAATTTTTTCTGATGTGGATTTACATAATTATTGCACTGTTTATGATGGGTCTCATAATATTATACAAAAATTATGCAATTATTAATTCAGTGTAAATATTACATAGATTTTATGTTAATATTACAACATTGCATATTAAAACATACAGATGTAACATTACTATGGGAAAATTTCCTGATGAATACTTAGAAACGCCTACTGGAGTAAACTGATATTGGAAAATTTCATCAGGACTTTTAATATAAATGGCAAAAGCTTCACATGACTGATCTAATAAAACTGGTATAGAATGTATAAATTTTGACATGTCAGCATATTGGTTGAATGGAAGTCCTACAAAACGATGGCTGATTCTTTGAGAAAGATTTTTGTCAAAAGAAGTTGCCAGCATATAATTTTATTGTCTTTAAAAGTAAGAATAAGTAAGGAAAAAAAAAGAAAAACAAGAAAAAAATTTTTTTAATTATAAATTTCAATTTGATTTTTTTGGTTAATTATATAAAAGACAGACACTACTACTTATACAACAAAACTGTTGTTTTTTTATACAAAAAGAATATTTATTTTATCTAAGAATGGATATATATGATTTTATACCATTAATGGTATTATTGGAAACAACAGATTGCTTTTAAACAATAATATTACAAAAGAAATCACAAAGAATACCAAACAAGAAATGCAGGTAAACCATTCCAATCATTACTTGTATTTAGGATGATAATTATGAATTCATTTAATCTGAATTTGGTTGTCAAACAGACCATTCCATTAGGAGTAATTTAGCGGACCATGGATGGGGCCACTCAATTGAGTAACTTAGTAGGGGCTAGATCAAGATGTGACATTATCATGCTAATTCTGATTATAGTTCCTTTTTTTCCTGATAATTTTTATTGAATTAAACTAATTAGTTTCTATTGTTATAGAGTCAAAAAAAACCATTTTTGCAAAAAATAATAATCCTTGAAGATTTTTTTTATAATTTGGATCAAATGCTGATTCCAGCATTTCTACAGTATGTTGTGCTTGAAATAAATGAAGATGTGAATAATACTAAATGCCTACAAAGATTTATTTGTTTTTGGGGAAGAAGGTACTTTCTGTGATTCTTGAAGGATTTTCCTTCTAATTTAAATGGTATACAAATTTTGTGGTTCCTTGACTAACTTACTCAAATATTCAAAATATGTTTAATTGTTTGTGTTAACTGGTATATCTGGTGTTTTTGCAATCCCAACTCTATACAGTCAACCCATTTTAGCAAATTTTTGCTTTTTTAATTAATTGGGGCATGCTGCAACAAAATCAGACAAAGCAAACGTTTGTATTACCAAGAATTTCAGGGTTCAAATTTAGTCATTAACAATGTTCAGGAGCAGTCATGTAGACGAATTTGTCCATTTAATAATTAGGCAGGGTAAATGTTTAATATAATAATAACAAATTAAGTGACTCTCCAGTCAAGTTAATATATAATAATAATAATGAACTGATCTTAATTATAATTGTTTTGATATTTCAAAAATTTATACTTGTATAAAATATGATGATGATGATGATTTGAGCATAATGAAGCAAGTAGCCTTATTAATAAAATGATTTATTTTTTTTTATTATAACAATAATATGTGAGTGAATATTAAATACATATAAGCAAGAAAAATTTTACATAAAAAAAATTTGGGATGAATCTATTGTGGTCCCATTTATGTATGTAATCCAAGTTAGCCAATCAGAGTTTGTATCCCAACACCAATCGTTTTGAAGATCATATATACAAAATTTTAGTTGCTCCTTTTTTTTTTTAAAAAAAAAAAAAACAACAAAAGAAATATCATCATCATTACTGTTATTTTGTTTTGTTCAAGTTCCAGTTCAATGTACAAAATTCAGATTTGTTGTTTGCTGTTTATCTGTTATTTTATTATTTATATTTCTCTTTACAATGCCAAAGATAATTAAAAAGGATACAAAATCATATGATGAGAAAACAAAGCAATTAATTGAAGAAAGGTAACTAATAATAATAACAAGGCAAATCAATGATAAAACTAATTGTTTTGTTTTAATGAATTGAATTTTTTGATAGCAAACCAATTTCCAACCTGCAGGAAAATAAAATTGCCACTTGGTTGTGATGATACAATGATCTGACATCCAGACAGACCCAAGTAGCAGCTTGTTCTACTACCCAATTGACAATCATGGCATCATTGACAAAAACATTTAAGAATGATTTTGATGACATGATGTATTAACACTTGGTTCACTTTTAGATAAATTAGTCATGGTGTTCCATGGCTGTTGATCATCAAACATATGTTACATCAATATAACAAATTATTATGTGCGGATTTTTTAGTATCTTTATCATATATTTCAACACATTGTAAATGTTGACAACAAAATTCAACTAACAATATTTTTTTTTGAAAATATGAATTATAAAAAGAAATTTCTATTAATTTATCAGTTACAATGTAAATTTTTATGGTAAAATTTAATAATAAATTGAATAACTTTAAACCATGATAACTTTTTTTTTACATAATAAATTAAACAAAACCTTTTATAGTTTTATTGTTTAAGTCTTTTACAATAAAGTTACAGAGAGATTTTTTCCCTATCTCATTTGGTTATAAAGTTTTTCTATTAGCAATGTTTTTTCAATTTCTTTAGAATATATAAAAAAATTTATTTTTTATTTAGCTTAATCTATTTACTATAATTTCCCTTAGTTTCATGTCTGTATCTCTTTATTTGAAGGCTCTGATGCAATTTTTATTTATATAGTTTTTACATACACTGCCCTCCAAAAAGTATTCGGACGATGTTTTTCGATAATTACACAAAATTCCACATAACGAAAGTACATAAAATTTATGTCATAATGTGGCTTAGGTTTTGGAGAACCTATGTGAAAAATCTCGTTTTTTTATCATTTTATGATTTTTAGTTAAAAAAACAAACACTGGTCAAAATTTATCTTATTTTATGATGATCATTTTATATGTTTTTTAAAATTTTCGGCATTCTCATAATGTTTGATAGTGTCGTGAACTGTAGACTTTGGAATATTAAGTATCTTTGCGATTTTTGAAAGAGAACTACCAGCTATTCTTAGACCTAAAATTTTCCTCGCTCAGCTTCAGTTAATCCTGAATTTTTTGCCATTTTTAAAAATCAAAAAAAATCGTGAAATTTTTTTTGATCTAATCAATTTTATTGATATCAGTTTATTTTTAATAACAAAAATTTCACACGTGACAGGAACGTAAAGTTTTAGTCGTTTATTTATGAGGACCTAAACTACAAACTATTAAATTTTTATTGAATTTTATAATATAAGATTTTGAGAAACATAAAATTATTAAAAATTCGCAAAGATAATCCTCGCGATTTATTTGGTGTTCGTTTTTTTTTAACTAAAAATCATAAAAGAAAGACAGTATAATGAAAATTTATATGTAGAGCCGCCAAAACCTAAGCCATATATGGTATAAATTTTATGTACTTTCGTTATGTGGCATTTTGCGTAATTATCGAAAAACATCGTCCGAATACTTTTTGGAGGGCAGTGTATGTGACAATACAATTCCTATCTTTCTGATGAAATTTGTAGAGTTCTTGTTATTTTCACTGTATGAAACAATACATTACTATCCTCTCATTGATGAAATCTATAGTAGTTCAGCTCTATGCTTGCTAAATTACTCTAAATCAATTCAATGGTTAAGAAAATAATTATCCAAGAAATATTTTGCAATATCTTATTTTTTTATGTTGGATGATATTGATAGTTTTATTATATTATACAGAGATAGTATCAATGAAAAGGAAGATTTATACATTATCATTATCTTCACAAAAAAAGAAATCAAGTGAGGGAGATTTGAGCAGTATTTGAATAATTTTGATGTTACTCAATGCTCAGCATTAAAGGCCCATTGATACAAGTCATAATGATTCATTTGTACTCAAAATTCTATCTAGAAGGGGAGTTACTTTCTAAATAAATTATCACTAAAATTAGATACATTTTTACTTTTACTTATGTTAGTTAAAATTGTAAAATGCACATTGTGATTAAAATATATTACAAATTTATAAATTAAAATGAAAGATGTTTTTTTTTCCAATTAAAAATTAATAGTAAATAACTTGGAATCTAGCAGTTTATCATGATAAAACTCTATTATCTCTAATGTTCCTTTTGATTCTTTCTGCCAAGATTCTATTGGATGATGTGATGAAATAAGTAGCTTTACCTCTTTTGCCAATTCTAGCTGTTCTACCAATTCTATGCAAAAAATCAATCATATTAGTAGGGAAATCATATAATATAACATGATCAACAAATGTTGTATCTAGACCTCTTGAAGCAATATCAGTACAAACTAAAACTTTAGCATCTAACGATTGATTTTTGAATGCTTCCAACTTTGTTGTACGATCATCTATATCACCATATAAACCTATCACTGGAAATCCTTTAGACTTTAAAAATGCTTCAAGGGCTCTTGAACTTACCCTTGTGTTACAAAATATTATTGTACTGCTGTTGTTGGTTAATATTGATGATGATGGTCTTTTATGAAGTGATTTATTATTATTACTATCATTATTTGATGATGAAGTGTAATTTCTCTTTAACACTTCTAATATAGCTTGAGATTTATTAAAATTGTAAGTTTTCATATCAATAAATTCATGTTGAAGATTTGGCAAAACTTTATGTAACGAATGACTGGTTAAACGTTTTATAGAAGGCAATTCTTCATCTAATAATTCATTAATTGACTTTGGTAAAGTGGCTGTAACGACAATACATTGCCATTTTTTTTTTTTATAATTAATGTCTTCTTTATTTTTTTTGTTATTATAATCATCATCATAAGCATCGACTTTATTATAATGGTTATAAGTAGATTGTTGTTTTTCTAATTTTTCATTTTGTTTTTCAACAATTTTTTTGATTTTTTGTATAATATTTCTGACCTCTTCACCAAACCCTTTGCTAAACATAGTGTCAGCTTCATCTACAACCATATATTTGAGTTCTGACAAGCTCAATAGCCCATCCTCGGTGTATTTAAGGATACTTGACGGAGTTGATATAATCATGTCAATTGGCAAAGCCAAACTACGTCTAATTAAACGACGTTCATTTTTTGAGGTAAATGATATTACACGAAATCTTGCAAAATGAGATAATATTTTAGCAACAGATTGTACCTGTTCTACCAATTCTCTTGATGGTAATAATACTAACGCTCTTGGACTATTAAATTTACGTATTGATGACTTTTTTAATAATAATGTTTGTTTTTCTTTTTCTAATTCTTGTTGGAAAAAAGAGTCTTTGGAGCTTTTATTATGATCTAATTGTTCTCCAACATAATCTAAAAGTGAACCAAGTGTTAATACATCATGTCATCAAAATCATTCTTAAATGTTTTTGTCAATGATGCCATGAT